GGGGGGGGGGGGGGGGGGGGGGGGGGGGGAGGTTGTGTGTTAAAAGTGAGTTGTTTGACATTTGGAGAAGTGTTGCTGAAACTTCTAAAAGACAACAAGGTGTCCGTGATTATGTGATTAGTAAAATGAAAGAAATATCTGATGAAAATTCTCTTTCCGAAGTAAATTAAGTAAATGACTTTAGATTCGTAATCAGCAACCCAGAAAACCCCCAGATACCCGGTTACATAGAAATCTACCGATTTTTTTTAATTTTCGTTCGCCATATTGGATCCGCCATTTTGAATTTTTGGTAAATGACTTTAGATATTTAATCAGCAGCCCAGAAAACCCCCAGATACCCGGTTACATAGAAATCTACCGATTTGTTTTAATTTTCGTCCGCCATATTGGATCCGCCATTTTGAATTTTTGGTAAATGTCTTTAGATATGTAATCAGCGACTCAGAAAACCCCCAGATACCCAGTTTCATAGAAATCTACCGATTTTTTTTTAATTTTCGTCCGCCATATTGGATCCGCCATTTTGAATTTTTGGTAAATGACTTTAGTAATGTAATCAGCGACCCAGAAAACCCCTAGATACCCAGTTTCATAGAAATCTACCGATTTTTTTTTATTTTCGTCCACCATATTGGATCCGCCATTTTGAATTTTTGATAAGTGAATTCAGATTCGTAATCAGCGACCCAAAGATCCCCTTGGTAAGAAATGGTGTAAAGATCCATCAACTAGTATTTGTTTAAATAGTTTCGTCCAGCTAGATTTGCGATCCGAATCACTGTGCTGTGCGGCGCATACACGGCCTAACGTATAGAGTAACTTTATTATACTTCGCGCAGGAAACATTATCGGACAATATTAAAGGTAGTGGAGACTAGCTCTTTTATTGAAAAAAGAAGCAAAAGAGAAAAGTGCACCATGCAAAGCGTGGATGACAAAAAAAACAGTTATCTTAGAAAAATCTAAAATGTTCAACACGGAAATTTCGTATGAAAATTTAAGCTTCCTAAGGAACTCGCCATATGAAGGCCTTTACTTTTTTACTTTAACAGATATGCACCTGCAATTTTGTCAACATATAAACCAAGGTAAACATATTTGCTTATGATAAAAAATCAATTTGGACTTCCCAAACCCCCGAAATTGAACATTAAACACGAATATGAGCACTGAGTGCCCAACTCACGGTTCTTAAGTTAAATGAGATTCACATTTTTTAAACTTTTTCAAGGTATTATCTCTGTTAAATACCATTAATCATTAAACACATAGTTTCGCTATGTTATGTTGTTTTATTTATTTTCAGCTCGTACATTATCAACTTTTATTATTCGGAGTTTAGGATTCGCCGAGGATGATTAATTTATTACTCAAAAAAAAATTAAATTTAATCCAGTTCATACAGAATATCTTCATAGCCAAAACTACCGATGCGAGTAGGTATCGATACTACTTCCAGGTTAAGGTATGTCTCTAATATCCGTATCTATCCATGTCTAATTCTTACAATTTACATTCGTAGTTTTTTATGAAGAACACTATTTTGGTCCAATTTTTATTAGGGT